CTGGCAGTCACAAGTGTCTGTAGCCTAGTTGGTAAAGGCAGCACTCTAGTATGTGTCTCAGCTTGGCTGAGGTTGTGATAGAGATGTCGCTCGATACCTGGGTACCTGTAGCGGGTGCGGGTACCTGCCTCAAAAATCCAATATTTTTTACACCCGCACCCGCACCCGCACCTGCTAGGGCCGCCAGGGCAGGTACCCGGGTACCTGCGCCGGGTACCTGCGGGTACCTGGACCTAGAGATGTCGCTTGATACCCGGGTACCTGTAGCGGGTGCGGGTACCTGCCTCAAAAATCCAATATTTTTGACACCCGCACCCGCACCCGCACCTGCTAGGGCCGCCAGGGTGGGTACCCGGGTACCTGCGCCGGGTACCTGCGGGTACCTGGCACATTTTTGCAGGCAAATATACCCAGAAACCTCACCCTTGAATTTCTGTATGACTTGGTAAATATAAGATTGATATTCACTAGATATATGAGTAAGAATAAAATAAAAATAAAGAAATAAAGAAAAACAAATTATTCTATCACCAATTTGAATTTTATCTTCTCTCTGATCTATCTTTAGCTTTACCCTTTTTCTTGGCCTCATTTGCCTTATTCAATGTCCATTGATGAAGACTGTACACCGTCTTTATTACTGGAGGAATTCCTCCAGTCATCAAGACTGTACACCATCTCAAAGGCCGGAGGGAACCCTCTGGCCTCAACTAAGCAACCAGATTAGTTCAGCAACACATGTAGGACACCAACTGGTGTCCTACATGGGTTGCTGACACCTTTGTTCAGCCCAACACCCCCAAAAAAGGGAGTGTTGGACCACCAATGATAAATTAAATTCTTCAGGGGAAGCATTCCCAGGGCGGGTGTAAGGCGGGTACCCGGGTACCTGCCTTTTTTTACCACAAATGTTGACACCCGCACCTGCACCCGCACCTGTTTTTACCGCAAATGTTGACACCCGCACCCGCACCCGGTACCTGTTTCTGGGTACCTGCTTTGGAAAACAGGTACCTGCAAATGGGTAGCGGGTACCTGCAAACAGGTACCTGCTGACATCTCTATTTTGCTTTCTTCTTCCTTGGGGCTGCAGTTGTCTTTTTTGAAGAGTGTGTATCCATTGCAGTTAATTTTTTGAGGTGGGTAGAGACAGAGTGGAGTGAGTTGATGAGCCAAAGTGTGATAGATAGAGAGCAATGGAGTGATGGCAGCTGGGATGCAAGCAGTAGATTGCGGCAGGCAATCACTGGTTTGATTACTGCTGTTGATGTTTGAAGGGTTGTTTGGCAGGGTTGGAGTTCAAAAATGGGACTGGGGCTGTCAAAGTTGGTCTCTGGTCATGCAACTTCAGCTTGGCTGGAGTTGCTCTAACTTAGCAAAGTCCCCCCTAAATTGAGAGGCTTGCTGGTGCAAAGCACTGGCTAGACATGAAGCACCCCCGCTAGCAGGGAGAGACTTACAGCCAAAGTGGCCCTGCTTGCCTGAAAGTCATACTGAACTGTCACCTTTAATTCTTTATCCTTCATTTCAAAACAGGTTTATTGAGCTCTTGCAGAATCTTTCTCTTCGCTCGAGGCAGCCTGGGTGCTTTTCAGATTGAGTGGATTCTTTGGCTTTCTGTAAAATTCAAGTTTTTTTTTATCAGAAACACTCTAAAAATGGCTCTCAAGTTCAGTTGTGAATGTGAACCCCCCCCCCCCCCCCCCAACTATAAACCGGTCAAGGTGTACCAAACTGCAGTCGGACGGAGCTGCCGGTCAGCGATCGGAGCAGTTTGGAAGACTGCTTATTCAAATCGTTGTGAGATTGGGTTGGGCAGAGCCGGATGACAAGCAAGGACCGAATCATAAACAATCTGCAACTGAGTTGTCCTCTGATCGAGTTGATCTGTTCTTATTTTGGCGTGTCTCCTTGAAAGAATTAATTGCAATCCTCAACACAAGACTGCCAGGGGATGTCATGGAAGCAAAGGAATCCTCGAAGAGCGGCGAAAGGAAAAAGGTCTTGAGCACCAGATTTGGAAGTTTTGGGGAAGAAGAGGAGAACGGAGAGATGTGCAGTTTGCGGTGATGCTACATAGCTGCTTGATCATGAGCTTGGCTGTCTGCAGTCAAGTCAGCCTCAGTCAGCTCAAGTCCGATTGAGATTTTCCAAGTGGGTGGTGTCTCATCCTCAACAGACAAACAGTACTAGCAGCAGCACTTCAGCAGTCATACTCGATCTGGAACAAATACTGCTTCCCGATCGGACCAGACCACATTACACGACTACTGTAAAACACCCCCACCTTCCACAAGTCACCCTCCTTCCAGGCTCCCCAAGAAACATATTTATATCCTCCCCAGTCCACCCTTCATCCAGCCGTAACCCACTCTCACGATGTCTGCTTCTAGTTCCCCCAACATGAACGAATCCGAGCCGAACGATGTCCGAGTTGAAGGCGTAACTAATGTTTTCTTTCTTTGCCAATTCTTGTAGAGCGGAAGAGAGAGAGAGCTTGAAACTGATGGTTTCTCTGGACAAAATAAAATACATATACAGTACGAGCCGTTGATTTCGCCACTCTTACTGCGCTCTGAAGTCCCGGTCAGTTCACGCTCTTGGAGTACGATCCGCCAGGCCAGACGGGCTTGCGCAAAGGTCATCTCCCATCGGGACGACCGTTTAATCGTCATCGTCGGCCCATGCTCAATTCATGGTACTCACCTTTCACTTCAACTTAAAAAAACTCTCCCTATCGATGGATTCAATCAAAATATTGACTTGGGTCACACCGTTCTTATCTTCCCGCAGATACCGAACAAGCTCTGGAATATGCTAAGATGCTCGCACCTCTTATGTCTGAGCTACCAGACCTAGTGATCGTCATGCGATCAGTGAGTAATCATTTTCATTTTTTTTCATCAATTTCTACCGTCCAAAAAAAAAAAAATCTTTTGGACTCATACCCCAAAAAAAAACACTTATTGCAGTACTTTGAGAAACCCCGGACAATAGTCGGTTGGAAAGGCTTGATCAACGATCCTGATCTCGACGGATCTTTCAAAATCAATAAAGGGATGCGCAAAGCCAGACAATTACTTAGTGATCTAACCGATCTTGGCGTCCCCGTTGGAGTCGAGTTATTGGATACTATCAGGTCAGCAATCGAATCTTGGAAATTATTTACGAAGCCTTTTTCTTCTTCCACTCAAAAAGAGAAATATTGATGAAAGATATGTGATTTGAAAAGTCCACAATTCCTATCGGATTTGATATCATGGGGAGCGATAGGAGCGCGGACGACTGAATCGCAACTACACCGAGAGCTAGCCTCGGGGACGTCGCATCCGATCGGGTTCAAGAACGGGACGGATGGCGGGGTGAGTGTGGCGATCGATGCGATGCGCTCGGCCAACTGTCCCCACTCCTTCCTCGGCGTCAACGACCAAGGCCTGGCCAGCATCGTCAAAACCTCCGGGAACGTCGACGTCCATGTGATCCTCAGAGGCGGCGGCTCCAAACCAAACTATGATCCCGAATCCGTCAGACTCGTCCGCGAAGCTATCACCAAAGCTCGGCCTGATACTCCGCCTGCTATCATGATCGATTGCTCTCATGGCAATTGTTAGTCCATCCCACTATTGGTTCTTACGTTTTTTCTTTTTTTTTCTTTTTGAGGGAATCCTGATCACGTATACCTATATGACTCTCGATCTCTAGCCCTCAAGGACCATCGAAATCAACCTAAGGTAGTCGCCGAGATTTGCACCCAATTGAAAGCCGGTGATCGGTCGATTGTCGGGGTGATGATCGAATCCCACATCAACGAAGGTCGTCAAAATATCCCTGCCGAAGGGCCGAGTGGATTAAAACATGGTGTCTCAATCACGTAAGTTTTCAACCTCCTCCCTCTTCTTTTTGTGATCATGGACATTCAAGATCTATCTAGAGACTCATTTGCTCTTTTTTCTCATTGGTCTTGTCTTTCTCTCTTGTTCCTAGCGACGCTTGTATCGACTTCCAGACCACCGTCAAGGCCCTCAAAGACCTACAAGCCGCCGTCCTTGCTCGTCGGAACTTGGGAACCCTTAACGGCACTACCACTCATTAATCCACCTCATCATTTTTTTGTACACCCAGACTTTTCTATCTTGTTCTATCTCTTGCAATCTGTCTGGGCTCTAGACCTTTCTCTCTCCAATACACTTCTTTATGTCTATCGTCCCCTCATTATATACAGATAGATAGTACAGATAGAGAGAGAGAGAGAGAGAGGAAAGAAAAAAAAAGTAATAATACCATCAAGAAATAATTATCAATGTTTATGTGATCCCAAATTTTTTCTTGGTCATTGCTTGACTCCCCAGTACTACCCATACAATTTACACACAACTATGCAGAAGTCTAACTTATCACAAGTCCCTTGCCCACAGTTGGGTTTTCTGCGCGCGAAGCGCGCCCTCCCGCAGGGAGGGACTTGCACACAAAGTCAAAATTTGGGCTGGGACAGGAAAGAAGAATGGCTGGAGTGAATTTTTTTAAGGTCCTGGCTCCTTATCCTAATCCTCTACAAGCCTGGCTCAGAGCCAGATTAAACACGGTGAAGAGTTTAGTGTCGCACAGAAAAATGCAACACCCAGACTAATTCATCTGCAGTGACTGTGGATGCTGCACAGTGACTGTGCATGCAACCCCATTGACTTAGTCTGGGTGTTGCATCACATGAAACGTCAATCAACCCTGCACCATGAAAGTTTTGGGTCCCAGCTTTCATTTGAAGGTGGTCTCATCCCTTCATTTGCCATGGTTCCCCAGCTTCTACATTTTTTTGAAAAATTGTTTTTTTTTTTTTTTTCCTCAAAAACCCAAAACAACAATCAACCAATTAGATCCACAAGGAAATCAAACTTATGAATCCCAAATTCTCATTGAGATGATTGACAAAACTGTCTATTCATAATTTCTTTCAAGTAAGTGGTTTTTTTTTTCTTTTTTGAAAAATTATTATGTGGTATTAAAGGCTTGAAAATCCTTCCTGTCCCAGCCAGATTTTTGACTTGGCTCATAAGACTCTTGTCAGCCTTAGAGCTAGCCAAGCTGACCAAAAGACTGCTTCATTCTCCCCTTTTCATCTATGTTAATACTGTAACTTTTTCATCTTAAGACTTTATTAAATTATGACTTCAGAAATGAATTCCTCATGTAATTTAAACCCTAGTCACCACTAGCCACTTTCACACTACTCTTCTCCTTCATTGACTTTGTGATATTTCACCACATGTACATGTTGTGATTATGTAATCCAACTCTGAAAATTCTCTCAGAGGATACTGAGTTCACTTTTTCAAGATCTTCAGACTCCAGACCAACACAGAACCACAACAACCAGAACCAGATCAAGCAAACACTTATCAAACAGAAGTACCTTACTTTTCCTGCCTTTCCCACTACACAGTGTCATTGGTGTCATTAGTAAGTAGCTTCTCATAATTTTAGCTAGCATCTTTCTGCTTGTTTCTTTCTCTGTCTCTCTCACCTTTCTTTCTCTCTCTTCTCAACCAAAATGAATCAAAGCCCTGAAATACTAAAGCACACCTAAGCTTCTTTAATCCCAATTCTTTTTGTTTGGTGGTATAACTGAAAACTACCTAGGTTTCCCTTTAAAGAACCTTGATCTTTGATCTAAAAAACTGTGGTTGGTCTGATTCATCAGTATCAATGACCCATTTCAGTTTCAGTTGATTTGAAGGCGTAGAGTTAGCTCCGCTTATAACAGCCATCCTAAAAAGGAAATTAAGACTGTCAGAAGCCATCCAAAAAGGACAGTAAGACTGCCAGAACCTTAATCATTATCATAAAATAAAGAAATAACAAAAAGAGTATTCATTTCTTTCCTTTATCTTCATCCCTCTCTTCTACTTTTAATTGTATTTCATTCCTCTTGCTAAATACATATAAAAGTGCCCCCCAAACCTTGTTTCCTGCTGTCACTATAGAGACCCAGGCTCACACCTCTCCTATGGAGAGTGTCCTGCGGGGACACCCCGGGAGAGGCTTTGTTAAGCTAATGCAGAAGTTATCAATTTTTTTCTGAGAGTTTGCTGATAGAAACAGTACAGAAGACTAAACCCACAACAAGTTGCAAAAACATGATGACATACAATGCATGCGTTGTCAGTCTTGATGTACAAACTTTGAGCGATAGCAAGAGCCAGGACAGCATGATCAAACACCCCCTCCCACAGAATTTTAGGATTGCTTGGCTAGTGTAATGATGGAGCTTGGAGTATACATCTTGTCACAGGGAAGGGAAAAAAGCCTACAGCATATGAGATTTGAATTTTGGGGGTATATGAAGTACCTGGATATGTCTTGTTTTGATTTGGTTTAGGCGCTGGATTGACTTACTGTTTTATGTTTCATTTGTCATCAAAACAGGAGTGTCAAAGTAAATACACGGCATGCCTTCCATGAGACACAATCAAACTCCTGGTGTGTGATGTATATGGTTCTTCACCTCAAGAAAAAGGGGCCAGGTTTGATTATAAATAGTCATGAGTCTCTGTGTATTATTTGATTATCCTACCATATAATCTTTATTTTCACAATTTTTAAGCATTTGGATTCCAAAAGGAAAAAAAATATCGATAGCCATGCTATTAACAAAAATCTTAGTTTCCTTACAAATCTTGCATTTCTATGTGGCTCCAGCACACTCAAGTTTGTTGGCCAAACACCTGGTCAAAAGAACAGATGAAATCCTGGACAGCTTTGCCCATAGCACCCTTCATGGGGAGCCAGAAGCAATGAGAAATCTAGCTTGTATGTAAGGCTTCGTTTGGCCGTCCATGATCGTCATAAACGATCATGGCAGATATTTCGGGGGTGCACAGCTAATGACGGGGCCTCACGATGGTGTTTGGGAGGCCACGTCATATCGAATCTCTTATGACGGAAATGGTCAACGAGATATATTCTCTGCCAAATCCAAGATTTTGGGTCCCCCCCAAAATTTTGCGTCATAAGTGCCGCTTCGGTGCTCTCATCACCCTTGGGCCGACTCGGCTTTCCCTTACAACAACTCCATATCACCCCCCAGCTGCACACCACCCCCTCTGACCGGCACCATGCCCCCCCCATCCTCCTAAACCGCCGTTCCGATCCTCCACTTCCGAGGTGCACCAAACAGCCACATCGTTATTGATATGGATTTTCAGGCTGCGTCATCTGCACAGCCTGAAAGAATCAAACCTAAATTCTGATTTGACGATTTTCGATGACGGTCTACGACGATTGTGGACGGCCAAACGAAGCCTAAATCATTTCTCTTAACATTTTCAGTCTGGCATTTTTTTTTTTCAACTGATAGATGTACCATGTTTTGATCACTTTTGAATGGTGAAAATTCTGCATGGAAAAGTGACTGAAAAGGTTGATAATTCACAAGGTTGGTGCTTTGAATATTGGCTCATAAGTCTCTTTATATTGAAGGAATGTGTCTCATTTACAAATACCTCTTACTGCTCATTCAGTACACTCCATTAAACATGAGTTCCCAGTCAACACTGATAATCAATTACATGATATTCATGTATTCAATGATGACACTGC